TACTTGTGCATTCACGGGGTAAGGATCTTCTTTGTGTGCCGAATGATTCACACTTGCGCACACGGCTTCTTGGCGAGTTTCACGATGCGCCCGCCTCCGGACATTTTGGTGTCAACCGTACCACTTGGCCGACTTCGCCAGCGGTTCTATTGGCCCGACCTTCTCAAGGACGCCACCCGCTATTGTGAGTCGTGCGAAGTCTGTCGGCGTTGCAAGTCACGCAACCATCGTCTGTTCGGCGAGCTACACCCATTACCAGTGCCCCTTGGGCGACGGGGAGCAATTGCTATGGATATCACTGGCCCCTTCCTGAAGCACAAGACCGACGTTGATGGGATCCTCACGGTCGTCGACCGCCTCACCAACTACGCCATGTTTTTGCCTTGCCGCTATCACGCAAAGGCACCGGAGTTAGCCGAGGTCTTATACACCGGTTGGATTCGCTCCAAGGGCTACCCCAAGGAGATCGTTTGCGACCGGGACACTCGCTTTCTCTCCGACTTTTGGGTCGCCCTCGTCAAGCGATGGGGCTCATCTTTGAAGCCGAGTTCGGCTCGCCACCCGCAAACCGATGGTCAAACGGAAAGGGCGCATCAGACCGCTCAAGTCCTTTTACGGACTCTTATCCGTCCCGACCAGGTTGATTGGGTTGAGCGCTTGCCAGACGTTGAGTTGGCTTACAACTCATCGATCCATCCGGCTATCGAGATGTCGCCATTCGAGTTTGAGCATGGTTCACCCATCTCATCGCCGCTGGACGCCACTTTGTCGCGCACAGCCGAGAGCGACGACCATCTTGCGTTCCTTCGTCGCATGCAAGAGCTTCTTGTTAAGGCACGGGATCAGATGTCGAAGACGCAAATACGGATGAGCCGTCAAGCCAACCGCAATCGCCTTCCTTGCCCATTCCGCGCCGGCGATCTGGTTTGGGTCTCCGCCGCGGAGTTCAGCCTTGAGCAAGACATCTCTCGCAAGCTCCTTCCCAAGTGGATGGGGCCTTGGCGCATTCTCTCTGCAGTTGGTGATGATCCCGAAGGGCCTTCATTCCGCATCGCGGTGCCACCTCACTTGCCCGTCCACACGGTGTTCCACTGTTCCAAACTCGCTCCGTTTGTTTCAGCGGAGTCCGACGAGTTTCCCGGTCGACGTACGCAARACCCTCCTTCCATGGACGGATTTCAGGAGGCCGGCTACATCATCACCGACCGRCGCCATGGCAACAAAGAAACAGAGTTTCTACTTCACTTTTCCTACTGCAGCCACAAGGCTGACCGTTGGCTGACGCGTTCGGAACTGCAGGCCACAGCCCCCGCCGTTCTCTCACGCTATCTTAGCAAAGGGAAGACTACGCCAAGCTCTTCAGCTCCGCGCCATCCTCGCTACATTCCGCCATCGGATCGACAGCTTTGCCCGCGCCCCGGCTCGTCTTCATAAGTAGGGGGGCGTGTTGCATGCTGAGAGCCTACACACGGGCCCCTCACGGGACCCGAGGTTGGAATAGGGCCCCCAGGTCGCGTCACCGCAACCTGAAGGCCCTATGGCATTTTTACTTGGGCCTGCATCAGAAAAACGCCAGCTTTAGAGTATTTTTATATTCTTTTATTTATTCAATTGCTGTTGTTTTTCTAACGTGTGTGCTGTTGTCCGTTTTGTGGCCAGGTACACGTTCTAGGGCCAGGACCTGATTCAGGCCCAGAGGCTGAGCCTCCAAAAACGTTTGGACCGTTTTTTTGTTTTCGGACAGATTTTGGACCATTCGGACCTGGACCGACGTTCAGGCCCGATGCATTCGCATAGGCCCTGAATAGGACCACGTACCGAACAGGCCAGCCCTGGGCAGGGCCTGGACGTCCGGTAGGGACCCAGGCAGGCCGTTTTAGGCCAAGGGCTGAACCAGTTTCGAAACCTGCGATCTGGACCGTGGATCGGATTTCGATCTGCACGGTCCAGAACGCAGGC